ACTAGTAAATAGTCCAAGGCTTCTCTCTCAGATAGCAGGTGGTGGTTTTGGAAATACAAACAGGGTTCTTCAAGTCCTCCACCCTCTGTTCTACCCAAAGGAATTGAGATTCTTTAACTAGACTTCCTGACTTAGTAGCCTGCATGAAAGATTGAAGCTTGCTGCTCACCAGTTTAATTAGAATTGAAGCCAAGTATATCAATGGTTCAGAGGCTTCCTCATGTACTGCTGTACATGCAGCTTCTTTCCAGATACAATTCAAATGTCTCTTCCTCCATGCAGCCTTCCCTGATTTCTCTCCCTTTGAAATCTCTCCTTTAAGCTAGAGGTAATATTTCTCTGAACCTCTGAAACTTCATCTATACCTACTGTTTCCTATCTGATATTAGAATTTGTTGTGTGTATCCCATCATAGTTCTACCAGTTTTCAAATACTACTCAGGCAGGCTCAGTGCCAAGTTCTCCTTTGTATCTCATCTGCAATGCCCTGCATATAGTAGATGCAAAGTAGATGATTGTCAGTAAATGGGTTTATCTGCCAGAGCATCAACAAGGGCAGCTCTGTCAGTTTGGGTGTCTTCAGCTGTAAGAGAAAATTTGACTAACGGTGCCTGAACTAGTAAGAGCATGGAATTTCATTCTAACGCAGAAAGTCTGGAGGTAGGTAGGCCCAAGGCTGGTCTATCCACTCAGCAGTGTCAGGCTCTGAGTCACCATTTTCATGCTCCTTTTAGGCCTTGCTTCCTAGTCACAAAATAGCGACCACAGCTCTAAGCACTGTTCTCCCCTTTTATTATGTCTCATTGGCCAGAACGGATCACATGACTGATCTCCTGTGAAGGAGAAGGCAGTTGCCACCGGTCTAACCTAGTCTGAGCCCAGTGCTGTCGACACCTGACCTTCCCGAGCAAAGGAGGAGCGATGGCTGCTGATTGGACAACCAACCATATCTTTTGCCCAGGCTTTGCTGACACTTGCAGGCCAACGAAATAGGGAGAGCTAGAGAAGTTTCTCTTACCCAAAGGCTAGCTTTCTGGTAAGGAGACAGGTCTACATTTTAGAGCACTTTAGCCTTTCGTGGGTATTAAAAATTAATCACCATTCCATAGATTTGGACCATGCTCAGTTTACAAAACATTTTTATATTTTGAAAGACAGGATCACCACGTGTCTAAGATCACAGAGATAGAGTGCCTGCTTCACCGTGCTCTTGGTGGGTGACCTTGTGCAATTTACTTAACCTCTCTGTGCCTCAGTTTCTCATCTGTAAAATGGGAATCATGATAGACTGTGTATCATGGGGTTGTTTCTGAGTTAATTTACATATATGAATACACCTCATTTACAATGGCGCTTGGCACACCGGAAGCACTCCTTAATTTGCTATTATTAGTTGTTATTATTTATTTATTCATTGCTTTCAGAGGAAGGGAGAGGGAGAGAGGTAGAAACATCAGTGATGAGAATCATTGATCGGCTGCCTCCTGCACATCTCTCACTGGAGATTGAGCCTGCAACCCGGGCATGTGCCCTGACCAGGAATCGAACCATGACCTCCTGGTTCATAGGTCAATGCTCACCCATTGAACCGTGCCGATCTGGCTACTTGTTCTTACTTAGGAATCCCATCACTCTTTGAAGATCAGAACAAGGAGAATTGTAAGCTCAGAGTTATTAGGTGGCTGGCCCAGGCGTCACAGCTGGAAGGAGCAGGCCGGGGGAGGCTGCCTCTGTCAGGGCCTCAGCCCCCTGACTTTGCCCGATTCTTTGTGACCACTGACCGAGGGTGATCGAGCTGCACCTGGTGGCTGCATGTTGCTTCACAGGTGATGCTTTACTTCTCCACTAAAATGTGAATTAGACAATTCCCTGAGAACAAGGACTGACTTAAGGTCCCTCCCATACCCAGCCCCTAGCTGGGAGGAGAGTAGAGTATGGAAGACTGGGTTCCGGGTCTGGAAGGGGAGTAGAGACTTGGCCCTCAGGGCCGGGTGGGGTGGAGAGGCGGGGCCCACTCTGAGCCTGACTACACCGTACACATTAGGAAACTGCTGTTGAATAGTAAGTGCTAACAGCATGAGAAATGAACACAAATCCATTTGTGTCTGCATGTACTCTCAGAATTCCCCGTGGACTCTGTACACTGTCATTTTCCGTATTTCCCCCATCCAGCTGTGGAGGCAGCGCAGGTTCCCATTATTTTACATCCAGTTAAGATTTCTTTTCCTTTTGGTTATGTTTTTAAGAACATTTATTGCCTATAAAGCGGTGTTTTTGTTAAAGACAATAGTGCCCTTTAGGTAGTCACACAGCGTTATTTCACAAATACCCATAAAACTGTTCGAGGGCTGGGCTTGCTGGGGCTCTGATGACAGGTGCTTTCTATCCTCCTTTATCTTTGGAAGCCTGTGAAATAGCTTCACCACCGCCACCCCCAGGGCGGAGCCCACGGGAGGGGAACACGGGGAGACACGGGCAAGTCTGCTCAGACCTTAGCGGACAGGACTCGCATTTACCCTGCCGCCCCCTCTGAACCCCCGTTTGTGCTGGGATCTAGCGTAGGACCTCACTCACAGCCTCAGCCAACACCGGGTCCCTGGGGGCTACAGGTGGAGGGAGGGCGAGGGAGGAGGCTGGTGGGAGGGGGGCCTGTCACTCAGTGGTTCATGGCACCAACTTCTGGCTCTGCCACTTAGGAGCTGTGTCCCTGGCACAAGTCACTTGGCCCCTCCGTGCCTCAGTTTCCTCGCTCTAAAATGAGGTTGAGGATTATACAACATCTTCCCCAGGATTTTACAATTTTAAAAAGAATGTCTTGAAATGCACTTGGCAGGTTGTCTGGCTCCAGAGGCCTCAGTAATGTTGCCAAACAAGGGAGGGAGGGAGCGGACTCTGGCCTGAGGCTTCGCCATGTCAGTTCCTTCCAGACAGCCCGGTAGCCAGCTGCCCTTCCGCCAGGCCCTCCCTGCCTGCTCTCCGGTCCAGTCCTTTGGGCTTTGTGAGCAGAGAGGTGTTCCACATACCCTCCCAGGGGGTGACTGGCCCAAACAGATGTGCTCTGAGAGCAGGCAAGGGAGCAACTCCGGGCCAGGAGGAACTCACACAGGCCCAGCTGAGCTCACCGCCAAACCTCAGAGCTCAGAGCCGCTGACTCAGAGTCCTGACTCCTGTGGTTAGCGCTGGGCCCAAGCGGACTGTTGCATAATTGGAAACAGGATTGTGGGGGCAAGATTTATAGGCAGTGACAAGAAGACACGCTCCTGAGAACCGCTCCAGCGTTCAGAAGCCCCTTGTCCATGTCCTTGGTCTGCAAGTCGTATCATCCCAAGCACCCCTGAGCCAGGCGTTGCTCGAGGTGCTGCCTGGTTCATTCAGCCCATCGTCACAGGAACCCGGGAGGCACTGCCCATTGTTCTCTCCACGTTGCAGGTGACGAAACAGCTGCAGAGAGGTTACCAGCTGGTTAGGGTGGGACTGAACCCCGGAGGCTGACCCTAGAGCAGGTGTTCTGCCCGTTTTGCTTGCCGGCAGCATCCTCCTTCCTCCGACAGACACTGAGCTTGTGGTCAGAGTCCTGTGTGCGCAGCCACTCTCTGTTTCCACTGCCAATAGTAATAATTGCAGGAAGTTACATGAAATGACTGATCCCCATTGTTATTATCCTCCAGCAGCCCGGCCCTGTGTCAGGCCCTTGACATGCATTATCTCATTTAATCTTCATAACAACTCTGCAAGGCAGGTACCGTTCGTTAGTATACACACTTGGAAGTTGTTAACCCTAAGGACCCCATTCTCCACATCATTTGTGTTTTCATTTTTTTAAAACATTTTCAGTAGTTAATCATTTCATATTCCCTCATCACAGCCAGGCTCAAAAATGTTAAATAAGTGCGCATTTCACACCCTATCCGGGTCTTTTGACCCCTTGATCACGAAGATGCCTTAGACTCTAAGCTGTATGCTATGCCAACTATATAATACTCTTAGCACATCCGTGACTCAGTTTCCCCAAGGATTCGCATTAAAAACACTTTGTTGTTTTTGATGTGTCCATTTGTTCTTAGACAGAGTAAACCTGAAATTGCTCTTAAATTAGTTTTGAAACATGCCTGGCTTGATGTTTTCACGCATTCACAAAGGCCTTCCTTCCCCCATTCGTCTGAGTCTTTTTTAAAAAATATATTTGTATTGATCTCAGAGAGGAAGGGAGAGGGAGAGATAGAAACATCAGTGATGAGAGAGAATCATTGATTAACTGCCTCCTGCACGCCCCACACTGGGGATCGAGCTGCAACCCAGGCATGTCCCCTGACTGGGAATCGAACCGTGACCTCCTGGTTCATAGGTCGACGCTCAACCATTGAGCCAGGCAGTTCGTCTGATTCTTGCTGCACTGGGAGAATGCTAACTGACAACGCGCTAAGTAATGGCCCTGAAATGTAAAATAATTAATGCCCAGATAATAGCACAGGGTGGGCATCTCAGTGTTTTAATGAAGGCTCAGGAAACAGTCTGGAGGGGACGATGAGTGTTACCATAATTAATGCTGCATATTAAAAAGTGACCTCTCCCCCGGTCAGTACAGGGACCGCGTAACCTTTCCCGTCACCTGCAACCTCACTCCTGGGACTCTGTGGTTCTGTTAATAAAAAGATAATCACCAGTCTGCCCTCATCTACTGTGGAAGCAAGTTTTTAAATTTATTTTTGAGGATGAAATTAGAAATCACCATTTTTAGAACATTTATGAGTATATATAGTTTACTCTCAGATATATTTATTCAATACATGCTCTAAATGAGAGTTTTAACTTTCTGTTTTCCTTTTCATTATCCCTGAAAAGAATGGATTATGGGAAAAAGATTAAAGGATAATGCAGTGCGGTGGTTGCTAATGTGCCATCGGCGGTATTGGTCGGGCTCGCCGAGTTCGTGTCTTGTAGGAGTGCCTTTCAGATTGCAATTACCTAATCGACTTGAAACCCTGTTTATGTTCTCGCAGGCGTTAAACGTCGTCTTTGAAAAGATCCCGGAAAACGACAGTGCAGATGTCTGTCGGAATATTTCAGTCAATGTTCTTGATTGTGATACTATAGGCCAAGCCAAAGAAAAGATTTTCCAAGCATTCCTCAGCAAAAACGGCTCTCCTTATGGACTTCAGCTGAATGAGATTTGTCTTGGTAAGGCGACGCGGGAGCTGTTTTGTCCCAGGCCCCTGATGAGCACCCCTGCTCCCCCCTCACTCCCTGCCCCCAGCATGGAAGCCTCCATCTGTGACGCTTATTTGGCCTGTCGTTCCCGGGGGGCACTTCTAGGGCCCCCGAGACTGTGATGCTCTCCAACAGCGTCCCGATTCTTCCTGGAATCGTAATCCCTCAGAGATGCTGGTGTTTTAAATATTAGGTTTGTAAATCAGATGCATGAGATTGCTATCCTGAGACCGAATGGGTTCTCCCTGCATCAGGAAGTACCACAAGGTGTGAACCCTGTGCCCTCCCTCCGTCTGTGCCGCGTTTCCTGTTGGCATTTGATTTGTTTGTTTGGTACCGAGTGTCATTAGCAGGGGGCTCAGACTCGGGGTGCTAGCTCTATCCGTGGAAAGGTCATCTTCCTCTCTGCTAATCTCGTCCTGCTCTAAGTGCCTCCTCCGCCCTCCCCCAGCACCAGCAGCATCTGCTGTGCATTCATTGTCGGGCTCTATTGGTACACTGCAGAGGAGAGCATATGCGTGAGGGGGCTAGCAGGGCTCACTTCACTCAAATGTTCATCAACATTGTAAAGTTGAGCTGCACGCAGCCCTTGCTGGAGACTGTCATGGGATTTTATAGCAGATAATGGGACGGGAAAGAAGAGTAAAATCACTGCAGTGACAGACAGCCTAACAAGGTTCATCTCCCCTCCACGTGCAGTTGTAGCCGCGACTAAGCAAGCAATTAAAACCACCCCACCCCACCCTCCCGGTCAGACCTGCTAACAAACAGGCCATTGAGAGAGGCCTGGGGACAGGGTGGGCAAATTTGAATGAAACAGGTAACCATGTAGCCACTGTGTGACCCGGCTGTAAAGGAAGCAGGGTCTAGAGCAGTGATGGCGAACCTTTTGAGTTCCGCGTGTCAGCATTTTGAAAAACCTTAATTTAACTCTGGTGCCGTGTCACATATAGAAATTTTTTGATATTTGCAGCCATAGTAAAACAAAGACTTATATTTTTGATATTTACTTTATATATTTAAATGCCATTTAACAAAGAAAAATCAACCAAAAAAATGAGTTCGCGTGTCACCTCTGACACGCGTGTCATAGGTTCGCCATCACTGGTCTAGAGGTACCTCCCCTCTGCCTCTCTCCTGTTGGCTGTCATGGGATGGACTGTTGGGCACTTGAAGACCTATTTAGCTCATTGGTTAGGTGCAGGGTCAAAGGGCAGCTCAGCCAGGAAACGGGACCAGGACCATCAGCTTCCTTGCCCTGAGTCTGCCTCTCACACATGAGTGGCCCTGACTGCAGAGGAGATGACCCACGGAGCCAGGTGGTGGTGGTCCTCCCACCACTCCCAGCTCTGTGCCTGCCCGTTGCTCCTGGCTCCTGAAGGCAGGGAGCGGGACAAGCCAGCTGGAAGCTTCCCGAGTCATCTGGTGGGAATGGGACTTGGCGCCAGAAGGCAGGCTCTGCGAGGCTGCTGATCTGCCACTGCTCCGGGGCTGGCCTCAGGACACTGAGCAGAGCCCGGGAGACCAGCCATTCGAGAAGCAGCGAGGCTCAGACCCCATCAGACCCCAGGCAGACACTCACACACCCAGATGCTCAAGGGCAGGAAGTATAGACACGGGTGGGCCTAACAGTGATTAGCAAACTGCGGTTTGTGAGCCACATGCGGCTCTTTGGCCCCTTGAGTGTGGCTCTTCCTAAGCCTTAGGAGTACCCTAATTAAGTTAATAACAATGTACCTACCTATATAGTTTAAGTTTAAAAAATTTGGCCTCAAAAGAAATTTCAATCGTTGTACTGTTGATATTTGGCTCTGTTGACTGATGAGTTTGCCGACCACTGGCCTAGGACAACAGGAAGTGGTGGGGCCTGTCCTAATGGGGAAAGAAAGGCCATCTTGGGGGCAGTGCCACTTAGCTGCCGCCGATGGTGGGCCTGTATGGTCTGTGTTGCCAGAGGGTCCTGTTTTTTAAGAGAGAAAGCAGATTCCAAATTTTTATGTGCAACATCCCGGTCATTAAATGTTGGTGCTGAATTGACATTAAAATAATAAGGAAAACATGGTGCAGTTTCACAAAAAGAGAAAACACACGTCCGTGGGCCACATTCTGACCCCAGGGCACAAGTGGGCAGCTCCGTGACGGCGTTTGAGCCCTGAGTTCTGGGACATTAGCCCGGCAGCACCCGCACTCGGGGGCCCACAGAAGGCGACGCCTGCTGTGAGCACAGACGCGTGGGTGAGCGTGCAGAACGGCTTTGGGAGTTTCCTGAGGAGCTGGTCCCTCTCAGGTGTCACTCTCTTCATTTGGCTTCGATTCCAGGCCGAGCCCCAGAGGAACAGCCTCAGGGAAAAGTGGTCTTACAAGTCAAGCCTCAACATAAAACCAAAACTCAGGCTACCGGTCTGGCTGATACATCTGTAAACGTTCAAAGAAATATTTTCCACTTTATTAAGTTTATAAATAATATTTTCAAAAGTGACAGGGCAGCACTTAAAATTTCTCAGTCATCTTAAAAGCGCACAAAACTCTCTTTTTGGCTTTTCTCCAGAGCTTCAGGTGGGCACGCGGCAGAAAGAACTCCTGGACATCGACGGCTCCTCCGTGATCCTGGAAGACGGAATCACCAAGCTAAACACCATCGGCCACTACGAGGTAAGGACAAGGCTCGGTCCCCTCGTCCCCTCCCTCATCGCCAAGCCCGACTGGATGAGGTCATTTCTGGTACCTTGTAAATTCTTTTTAAAAGTCACGGGACTCCCAGCCACTTTCTGGAATAGTTCGGGGCAGTTTTCCTCAGTTGCTCATCTGGCAAAGCCCGTGGATTACTGCTCTCGTGGTCTACGGCTTCCTCCGGGTTCCCCTCTCCAAAGCTTTGACTTTCAGTGAGCTGATCGCTCTCCATCCTACAGTTTAGGTGAGAAATGTCACCTTTATGAGATTCTCTGGTCTCTCAGCATGTTCCTCAGCAAAGCCCTAGAGCCGTGGTCAGCAAACTGCGGCTCGCGAGCCACATGCAGCTCTTTGGCCCCTTGAGTGTGGCTCTTCCACAAAATACCACGTGCGGGCACGCATACAGTGCGATTGAAACTTCGTGGCCCATGCGCAGAAGTCGGTTTTCGGCCTAGGTGAGTCTATTTTGAAGAAGCACTGTTGATATATGGCTCTGTTGACTAATGAGTTTGCCAACCACTGCCCTAGAGGGGTCATTTAGCTTGACAAAGCCTCCCACTCTCCAGGGTCCGTACAGACCGCAGGACCTTTGGTGTAGGGTCCTGTGTTCTGAAGAAGCTCTACATGTCCTGTTTGTGACAGTCAGCGATACCTCCTTTGGCCCCTGACCCACATGCTGAGTGAGTGTCCATGTGGGTGAGGGGCACAGAACAAGAGAGAGGAGGCAGGGAAGGTTCCTGAACACACTGGGATATTGGGAGTCATTCAGCAACATTATCCAAATCTTTGTTGAATACCTACTATGTGCTAAGAGCCTGGGATGCTTACACGAGGAACAGAGCCTAGGTCCCTGACCTCACAGGTCCTGCAGCCTTGGGGAGGGGTGGAGAAGGGGAGAGGACACAAGTAATGAGGCAATACCTTATGTTGGAGTAGTGCTGAGGCTTGGAGCTGGGAAGGAAGCTATGACTAAGCTGAGACCTGAACTTAACCAGCCCGGGGTGGGGTGCCAGCACATCTAGCAGGGATGGGAGAACATGCGTGTTCCACAAAACTACTTTTAGACTGGCTGAAACTTGAGAGGGGTCGGGGAGGTAATAATAGCCAACCTTTATGGAGCCCCTCCTCTGCGCCACAGGCTCACCTAGCATTTCTCCTTATTTCGCTCATTCTATCTTATAGCAGTTCCATGAGTTAGTATTGTTATTACCCACTTTACAGATGGGTACAGTGAGGCTCAAAGACTTAGCAGTGGTTACAGTGGCAGAGTCAAGACTTTGACCCCGGCAGTTGGGCTCTCGGGTCTGAGGCTTAACCAGTTCACACAGCGGCCTCTCCAGGAGGTGAGGAGAGGTGGGCAGAGGTGAGAGGTGCACGTCACACAGGCCCAGCCAGCTTCTTCAGGGGCTGAATGTTACCCCAAGAGTAGTGGGGAGCCACTGGAGAAGCTTAAGCAGGGAGAGTTGTGTTTCAGAAAACAACTGGCTGTGCGTGGAGCGTGGATGTAAGGGATGCAAACCTGGATTTCAGGTGAGGGATGATGCTGACCGGAAATGACAGTGGCGCTGGGGATGGACACAGTGGGTGGATTCAGAGACGGCAGGAGGTGGACACAGCCGTGCGGGTGAGAGAGAGACACAAGGAACGGATGGTCAGGAAGGCCCTCGGGGATGGCAGGGCAGAGGCATGGATGTGGGGGCTCTTTCAGAGATGAAGAAGCCAGAGGAGCAGCTCCCAGGTCACCGGGAGGGCTGGGGGTCCTCCTTCCTTCATGGCTGACTGTCCTAGGGAGACGTGTCTGCCCAGGAGGCCCTCCGCCCTGCCCGCTCCCTCTGCAGGAGGCGCCGAGAGTGTTTGTTCCTCAAGCTCGGCTTCTGGACGACAGCCAGGAGCAAGACCACCTCGTCCGTGGGCCTTGCTGAGTGGGTCTCACGCCCAGTTTGGAGCAGCTGCTGTGGGCGGCGGCGGCGGGTGCTGCCCCTGAGCCTTTGCGGAGAGAGAGAGAGCTGTGGATTAGCCGCTGGCTCCTGTGCTGCCCTCCGGCAGCTTGGACCTTCCAACCTCAGAATCCACTTGTCCAGAGCTGGTCATGGTCTTGGAGATTATAGAAACCGCAGAGAACTTTCTGGAAGTACGTGTCCCGTTGGTGGGCCACGCTGGAGCAGCACTGCCCCAGAGGGAGTGCAGGAGAGAAGGACGCTGGCACGGGTGGAAGGGCTTGGGGAGGAGCTCATTCGAGCTTCTATGATATTCAGGTTGCAGACCCCCAGCCAGCTCCTCCTCTGCTCCTGTCTGGGTGGCCAGCCTGTCTCAGTGAGTTTGGGAGGAGCACAGCCCTCTCTCGCTGCTTTTGACTAATGTGCTTGCCTCGCTCAGTGGTGCGAGGAGAGGGGCACCCTGGCCAGGCTTCTTGGTGTCCCCTGGCAACCTGGAGGCAGTGGGTAGGACCCAAGGGAAGGGGGTGTGGCCACTCACCACCATTGAGGGAGGACTCGCCACTGGGCCGGGAAAAGGAGGATCCACCACAGCTGTCTGCAAGGCACGGGGAAGGCTGTCGGGAGAGAGAGAACATCAGTCTTTGCTGGAGACATCGGCCGTGCTAGACACCTATCTGCTTAGGGATGATAATGAAATTAATCTGGCCTGTAGTCACTTCCCGTCCAAATGATTTATTGGCCTCATACCCCAGCGTCACCACATGGTGGTAATAAATGACACGATGAGGACACAGGGCTTAAAGGATTCTCCTTGTTTAAAACGCTAAGCCATAAGGCAAGCAACACCGCGCTTGAAGGAGCGGAGGCCATCGGCCCGGGGAGCTCTATGCATGGTCCATCTCAAATGCCCTGTTTCCCAAAGACCGCTCAGAAAACAGTACCCGCCGCCACCCTCGGCCACCGGAGCCTGTCCTTGGTTTAGCAGCACCCCACAGGCCCAGAATTTGGAGTAATTTGCCAGGGCTGGCTGACGCCCTCTCGTTAAAGAAAAATTTCTCCTGAGCGAGCACTCGAATTTCCCTCCAAAGCGACAAGATGCTAATTATCACTCTTATTCATTTACTTAAGTGGCCTAGTTTGAGTCTCACTGTAAGTGCTTGAAAGCAAAAAACTGTATTTTCTTGAAAAATGGTGTCTAACCCAGAGTTTTAGAGATTCAGAGTCACCTCCCTCCAATGAGCCCAAATTATTAGGCTTTAAAGTCCGTCGGTGAGGCCGGGGCCTCCTCCTGCCTGAGCGCAGTCCCAGGCAGGGCCTGCGCTGCTGCGCCGTCTGGCTCTGTCCCGGGGCAGACAGGGTGCAGCTGGTCTCCTCTGAAGGAGCTGCTGTCTGTATGTTTGAAGAACAGGTTTCTACAGGGCACCTGAGGGCACAGCCAAAATAGAGCCTCTCCTGGGCCGGGTGCCGGCAGCCCCAGCGCCCTGTCACCTAGGGGGTGGCAGCCCGGCCGCCCTGGGCATCGGCATGATTGCTTTCCACCGTAATAACAGCGGCAGCTGTGCCCCCACCGTTCGCGTGCAGGAGCCCGATCCATGTTCACAACCACCGTCTGATGCAGGCGCTTTTATTACCCTCCGTTTCCATCAGATGAACACAGCGGAGGGCGATGCTGCTCCTGTCTCCTTCTGTCCTGTGCAGACGGTGTGGGAAAGCCGACATCCTTACAAACACATTGAGCCGGAGGCATCCTTCTCCCTGTAATTAAGTCCTCCGCGTGCTTCTGTTCCGGCCGTGGCGGTGTGTGGGGTGCATGTTTCCTACGGAGGGACCACACCGTGTTTGGGAGCACGTGGAAGTGTTCGGGCTAGAGACGGCTCTCCCTCCGGGCCTTCTTCCCACCCCCTGCCCTCCTCCCCCCCCACTCCCCGGCCCCGGGGTCCTTTTGCTGGCCCAGTCATCGCGCCCACACCCTGCTGTGGAGTGGCATCGAGTGTGGAGGACAGAGTCATGTCCGGCAGGAAACCTTGTCTGCAGCTCGCACCCCTCATTCTGAGCTGTGAGGTTTGGAGGGGCAGAAAAGATGTTTAACCACCATGTCGTTGAAGAGTGTTCCTCACGACAGGTGAAGTGGTCGCCGCTAATGCCGAAGCTGTCACGCAAATGACATTTAAAGCTCATAGGACTGTCCCACGGGTCTGCTGAGTCCTTGCGGTGAGGTGCGTCCTCTGGGCACTGAAGTGAAGGGTTGGACTATCTCTAAAGGCTTCTTACAGCGTGCACGACTTTCGATGTTTATTTAAGGAATGTGTGCGGCGCCGCTTGTACAGTGAGCACTGTTCTAGGCAGATACTCTCCTCATTCCCATGCAGAGGCACAGAGAGGCTCAGACACCTGGCCGTAGTCACACAGCTCTTCTCACTGATGCCCCAAGGCTGGAAGCGCTCTCCTCGGGCCAGAGGGGTCCCCTTGCTCAGAACCAGGCTTTCAGCCAAGCTCCCGCGCTGAGGCCGCCTGGCTGGAGCGCCGGGCCCGTTCAGGAGAGGCCCTGGTAGTTACCTTTCCTGATGTCAGTTCGTAAGGTAACCTCTCCAAACCTTCAATGAATCTCACGTCTGTGGGTTTATCGGAATGCTTCCTTATTTCTAATCCCACTTTAACATTGTTCCTTGAAGACACCATAGTTGCCTTCATCAGAAGGGAGGCCTCCTTCAGGCCCCCAGAGCTGACCAGGCCGGCCCCAGGGGCACGGAGCGCTTAGGGCCCCAGTCTCGGCACTGCCAGAGGCCACGCTGCCTCCCGGGGCCCAGCTCAGGGCCCAGCTCGTGTTCTCTCCAACAGTCCTCAGGGGGGTGGCCCCTGGCCCGGGCGAATCCCAGGCACACAGAGGGAGCGTGTCCGCGTGTCGAGAACCCTTTGGAGGCTGTCCAGGCTGCCAGACACTGTGTGTGTGGTTTGATGAGTCTGTCGAGAATGTTCTGATGAGCCCGCCACCCGCCACGAAGGACTGAGCAAGGTCACCCCTCTGGCCCTGAGAGAAAAAGATTC